TGACAGCATAGAAACACAGCTGGGCTGCTGTCCACTGAAATCAATGTCTATTTCTTACATTTGAAACAGGCATTTTTAAACAGCAACTTAATATACTTAATATTTAATAAAAAAATAAACCATGCAGATTACGACCCTTTACCTCAGAGAGTACAGAGCACTCACTCGGGGCATACTGTTGCTAGAAGTGCCCCATGATAATCAAAACTAAGACCCTATCACAGAAAAAGGGATCAAACTGAAAAGAAAGTCTTGACTTTATGAAGATGCACAGGTACGGGGAGCTGGAAGCAGGAACAAAAAGAAATATGGCAATAAAGACACACAAGTGAGAGGGAACGAGGAAGCCTGGTGAATGCAGAGAGGATGGAGCAGTGATGTAAGAGCCACTCTGATTCAGAGCTCCTATTATTGAATGAAAGAAAGAGACAGACAAGAAGCGAGCGAGCACTTACCCTGATAACCTCTGGGCAGGCGTAGTGTGGAGATCTGTAAGAAGAGGCGGCCATTCAGCATACAACATGAAGCACAATAAATACACTGGGGAAGTATCAGCTGATGCTCTGGATAGCAGTTCCTTGAAACACGCAAGTCTTTACCTCACATGCATTAAAATAATGACATCAGTCTTTATTGCATGACAGATTTCTTTATGCTTAAAGAGTATTACATAACATCGAACATGTGCTGTGGTGGCTCGGCTTATTGGATAACGCACAGCAGCATCCAACACACGGCAAAAAAGATGCTTTCTTTTATGTCTTTTATCATAGTGCCAGACCTTTAAGAGCATATTTGTCAAGTGCAGGTCTGTGTTTAAGCCTCTGATGCTGTGACTCTGAAACCAAGGCCCTAAACAGCTTTATAGCACTCTGAAAACTAGCATAACTGATGCCCACAAAGAAGAAGTCAGCTTCAATCCATCCCAGTGGATCCATCCATCCATGTCCCAGGTGACACTGGGCGAAAGGCCTTGAACTGTAAGGGGAAACCAACAACATGCAACATCTTCACAAACGCCCCGACCAGAGGTTTGAGCCAGGAATCGTCTTGCTGTGATGCTACATTGCTCATCACTGCATCCTATGCCGCTAGTGCAATTCTCTCAGTTTCTAATAACAGCTTGTAAGATATCCAAACCACTCGTTGGACTGCAGGAAACTTCTGGAAAAGCTGACCTTTCTTGCATCAACATAGCTATATTTTGAAACAGAAGCTTGCACGTGTGTAGCTGAAAAACCCTGATGCACTGTATACAAGTGAACAAATCCTGTGAACCTCTTGAGCTCAATAAGCAAAGAAATGTGTGCAGACCTTTATGAAAAGAACTCCAAGTCTTTTCTGCAGACTGTGGAGCGATGGTCAATGGAAGAATGAATTCAACCCTCTCTGCTGTGACGGTTGTCAGACTTTGCAAGAGAAAATCCTCTATAATTGAACAATAATCCTTCAAAATCCACAACAGACGACCTGAAGAGGCACACAAGTTTTGTCATGTTTCTCACAGTTCACAACCCCCATCAGTGAAAATCGGAGTGTTCAAAGAGCAGTGCAGGAAGATGGATAAAGAATCTCACAGTCGTAGCAGACACTTGCAGAAGCAATGAGCGAAAATATGCCAGAAAGTGAAAGACTCTGAAGTGCTGCAGAAAGAGCACTGCGAGCTGTGATAGAGTCAAAGGGAGCGTTAAGTACTGACAATGCACGGTGCCAAAATATGGGCTCTGTGCTCTTTGCCTTCCTTTTTAAATATTGCACTTTCTGCTTTTTGAAACATGGTCATTTTTCACAAAAAGAAATTCTCTAGTATTTCCTCTCATGTGTGAATTTTAAATAATCTAATAATTGCACAATTGCAGCAGAACTAACTGTACTCTGGAGCTTCCCTGTGCCGATTCATCATGGAATAAACGAAGCGGAGAGCATGACTTCTTCCAGCAGCATCCCATCTAAACTCGCAGAGTAAACACACACTCCATCTTCACTCGCAACATACTTAATTATGATAATGTATGTAAACCCAGTCGATCTGAACTACTCAAACACACTCATGTCAAAATACACTAACTGCAATCTAATTACACCCGAGCTAATTTTCATCCTTCCCGCTGGAGGCAGCTCGCTCATTTAATGAATTCCATTAA